AGCCTTGTCTTGTACCCATTTTTAGTGGAAAAGCTTTCAGCTTTTTCCCATTCAGTATAATGTTAGCTATAGGTTTTTCATAGATGGCTTTTACTATGCTGAGTAACGATACTTCTATGCCAATTTTCCTGAGAGTTGTAATCATAAAGGGAATGTTGTATTTTGTCAAATGCTTTTTCTGCATCAATTGAGATGATAATTTTTTATCTTTCTTTCTGTGAATATGGTGTATTACATTTATGGTTTTGCATATGTTGAACTATTCTTGCACCCCTAGAATAAAGCCTACCTGGCCGTGATGAATAACCTTTTTTGTATGCTGTTGATTATGGTTAGCAAGTATCTTGTTAAATTTTGCATCTATATTCATCAGAGATATACGTCTGTAGTTTTCCTTTTTTGTTATATCTTTATCCATTTTCGAAATGAGGGTAATGGAGGCTTCATAGAATGAATTTGGAAGGATTCCTTCCTTTTGGATCTCTAGAAACAGTGTAAGTTGAATGGAAGTTACCTCTTCTTTAAAAGTTTTGTAAAATTTAGCAGTGAAGCCATCAGGACCTGGACTTTTCTTTGTAGGGAGGTTATTGATTACTGATTCAATATCATTGCTTGTTATAGTTCTATTCAGGCTTTCTATGTCCTCCTGAGTCAATCTTGGTAGATTATATGTGGCCAGGAATCTGTCCATCTTATCTAGGTTTTCTTCTTTGTTGGCATATAGTCGCTTATAGTATCCTCTAATCCGTAAAGTGCTTGCACATCCATGTTTTTTGTGGTGTTATTCACAATCTCTAAGACATGTAACTAAACCAAATGTCCACAAATGGATGAATGGATTGAAAAACTATGGCACATATATACTTCAGAGTACTACTCAGCCATAAAAAACAATGAGACCCTAGTATTTGATAGAAAGTGAATTAATATGGAAGATTTACAATTAAGTGAAACAAGCCACAATATGAAAAAGAGACATTGTATGTTTCCACTCAATCTGTTACTGAACTCAAATCAGGTTCGCTCACCCAAGCTCTATGAAACCAAACCATAGGCACATGGTATGATGAAGGAAAGTACAGTTTTATTGCAAAGTGCAAAGCAAGGAGAGCAGGCAGCTCATGCTGAAAAGACCTGGTCTCCCTGAGATGTTCCCCATATGCATTTTTTTGTTTGTTAGTTTGTTTTCTTTTATCTTTTTTTTTTTTGAGAGGTTTTTGCTATAGGGCGCATGCGCTTGCCAGAAAGACAGAGAGAGACAGAGAGACAGAAAGTGAGAAATC